TGGTGCTGTCTTTCTTAGGGCCCCGCCCCAGAGGTGTTAAACTACTAATATTCTAGCCAGGCGGCAAGGAAGCCCTGTCTTCCACTCTTCTTGCTCTCTTACACTCTGTGAGTCTGTGAGTGAGTGAGTGAGTGAGTGAGTGTAGTTGTCAGTGCATGTGTAGCTGTCAGTGTGTGTTTGTGAGTGAGTGTAAGTGTGTGTCTCTCTGAGTGTGTCAAATCAGTGAGGATGGGTATGTCTGTGAGTGTGTGTCAGTGTGTGTCTGTCATTTTATTGCTGAAGTAACCTATGGGGTAGTGTCTGTCCCTTAGGTTGGGTGCTGAGTCTTTGCGGAAATGGATCTCTTGGAGGAAGACCACCTCAGCTTTGAGGCGGTGGAATTCAGTTAGCGCCATATATCTTTTCTCTGAAGAATTTAGGCCTCTTGGGTTTAACAAGACTACTTGTACGTCAGCCATGAGTGGTTGTGTTGGGATTGGGTGTGTGTTTCCATCGTCACAGCCCGGACAGCAAGACAGTGGTTACTAGGATATGGTAGGGGGTAGCGAGAGAAATGCAAACACAATTCTATAGGAATAACAACAAATATACAACAATAACAATAACTATGTACAACACAATAGCAATCAATCAAATATGCTTGAATATGCTAGGTTTTGGTTTTATATGAAAAGATTTACCAGAGTCTACAGGGAACAGATTGCTTTGTTTCGACTCCACTAAAGTGGTTAAAAGGATTTAAGTTGACTAAGGCGTGGAGGCCACTAGTTTGGTGAGCGGCCAGTAGCGTATGTGGGTTGGATGGGCGTGAGAGTACGTGTTCGGTTAGTTAGTGTTGTGTGTGTGTTGAGTGGTGTTGGATCGATGTGGGCTTACAGGTGTTAATCCTTGAATTGAGTTTAGAGTGTGATCAAGGTAATGGCGTACGTTTCTGTTAGCTTACAATTTGTGGTAGGTACTCCAGACACATGGGGAGGGGGTAGGGGAATTGGGTGATGGGAACTCGGATTTTCCTTTTTATTTTATATATATATACATATATATATATATATATAGAGGATAAAGAGATGCACTCTCAGGACTTGAAAAAATAAATAATTTATTCCAGCAGGTATAACATCAAAGTTTGCCGACGTTTCGACCCATTCGGGTCTTTCTCAAGGTCAATATTGAGCTACACATTTGAAAGGGTGAGTGCCAAGATAAACATTTTTTCATATATATATATATATTTGTATTTTATTTTTTTGTCAATCTTTCTTTTATTATGACATTTGATGGTTTACAGAATAGAAAAAGGAGTTAAAGCGGATAAACATAAAAACAGATATGTCAATATACAACAGAGTAAACTCCTAAGCTAGCTTGCCATATTTTTATAATAATAAATGACAAGAGATATCAGGCTAGTTATGCAAGAGACATCTGTTATAGAGTTAACATGCTAAAGACATGGTATATCGGGCTAGATATTCATGAAATAATTATACAATATAATAATGCTTACGACAGGGTATATCAGGTTAGATTTTTAGGAAAAGCTTAACATAGGATAAACCAGTTTATTCTAATTTTGTAAGCGTGACTACCAGTATATAGTTGGCATTTGTCGATTCAGCTGACATAGCCAAGAAGAAGGAAAGCAAGATAAAATAGATATCCATGTCTGAACTTGAAATGGAACAAATGACCGGTTCGCACAACTTGTTAAATCTTCTCTATGTACGGTTATGCTATTGAGCTAGTAAGGTTAGTAGCATGTCATATAGAGGGTAGGTTTAAACCACTGAGGCCAGTGAGATTGCTAGGTCAGTTAGTTATGGGCTGTTGACAGCGTTAAGTAGATCAACTAAGGGGGGTGACTTAGTGACATGGTGAGAATAGTGAGGTTATCGAATCTATAGCCATTTGTGCAGCCAGCCTGAGCAACCCTGGTGTGTATATGAGTGTGGTCTGGTTCCATCGTTACGTCAGCATAACATTAGGTTACTAACCCAGTGGTGTAGTGAGACTTTTGAGACTATAGAGAGCATATGGCTAAGTGTCCCCCTTATCTATGTGTGTTCACATTTTAGAAAGAGAATTAGCTGCCATGTCTCTGGTCATTTACTCCTGTAGTCTGTTGCCTGTTGTCAGTAGGGAGATTTATGATGGGGCCTGATGAATTCATGGACATCCAGTTGGTCTCCGTTGGTTTGGCTAATTCATTAGTAGTATGTTGGGTTATACTAGTCTGTGCCGATGGTGTTGGAGAAATGTTGTGAGAAGTCCGAGTAAAAGGTTGGGAAGTCCAATGGAGGTTGCAGGGGTGAGGGGGGGAGAGGAGAAGTCCTGGAGTGTCTTGAGAGAGTCTTAATTAAGATGAGCGTGTCTAATTGGGTCTTGGGTGCTTTTTCACAGATTGAATATCCTCAGTGTGAGTGTGATAGCGATCCTGGAGTCGCTCCCGACTGACCGATTGTTGATGATTATCAGTGGGATCTGTCCTGCACTTCTTCATAGGTGTCCATCGCTTCTGGTGCTGTGGCTGCAGGTGGGCATTAGTTGTTCGGTCTGCAGAATACCAGTCCACTACATGAACTTTGTTGAACTCCATTGCTCTTAGAAAGGGTTGTACATCCTGGTGCATTGCGATAGTGTGAGTGGATCCCTTGTGCATCATGATCAAGGTGAAGGGGAAGCCCCAGAGATACTTTATGTTGCATGCCCTCAGTTGGTCAGTGATAGTCTTTAGGGACCTTCGTGCATGTAGGGTCATCAACGATAAGTCTGGGTATACCTGGATCTTGTGTCCGTGTAAGAGTAATGGGGGAGTTGTGGATTGCAGTGCGCGCATAATCTCCTCTTTATCTGTAAAGTAGTGTAATCTGCATATAATGTCGCGGTGTGTGTCTGCCGCATTTCTGGGTTTAAGTGAGCAGTGAGTTCTGTCAAACAGTAGCGATGTATCTGCGGCCTTGCCCAGATTTAGGTTAAAAAGCTGTGATAATATATTGGGCAGGTCCTCCCCCGTGACTTTGGGTAGGCCTCTGATCCGGAGGTTGTTTCTGCGTCCCCTATTGTCTACATCATCCATGGAAGGCTGTAGGTGTGCTAGACATACAGATTGGGATTCTACCCTGGAGGTAAGTGTTTGTACTTGCATTTGAATCAGGTCTGTGTCGCGGTGACCCTCGTGTTGAAATTTGGATTTAAGGCCCTCCAGCCTCATCTGGAATGTGGTCTCTAATTTTCCCAGCATGGCCGCCAGATTTTTGTTTGAGGAAAGGTTTTTCAATACCTCACTGATGTCAGGATCTGTGCAGCCTGAGGAGCTCTTTGAGGGCGTAGGGCTCGGTGACGTGGACTTGGGCAGCAATGCTGTCGGCGCCATGTTGGAATCCGTGTTGTCTGGTAAGCACTCTGCATATTCTTTAAACAGCTTTGTTAGGGAGCCTGATTTCCCCAAGGGCGTCTTCCCCGAAGTGGAGTAGCCGCTCTGGGTTCGTTTTGGGTTACCCATATCTGTGTGGTACCTCTGAAATGGTGGATTTACTGCCTGAATGGCCCGGAGCTAGCTTAGCGTGCGTCCATCCAGGTCGGCAGTTGGCCATGCCCCCCTTAGTATTATCTTTTACTCTATCCTCACCTTTGTGCCTCACATCAAGTCTGTTGCTTAAACCTGTTAATTTCACCTCAAAAACATTGCTAGTGTCCAACACTTGTTATGCAGAATGCTACCAAGGAGCTTGTTCATGCTCTAGTAATTTCTTGCAGTGATTACTGTAATTATATCCTTATCAGTCTCCCCAGATGCTGAACTGCCATCTGTAAGGAATACTGCTGCTCGGCTGATCTTGGTCTCTTGTTACTCCTCTCACAACTTGCTCCTATGGTGATCCTCACACTGTCTTCCTGTATCCTACAGGTGTCAATTCAAAATACTAGCCCTTACCTACAAAGCTCTAAACAACTCTAGAGCCTGTTATATTTCTTCCCTGATTCTTATGTATGCCCCTTCTTGGTCTCTCAGCTCTCCTGGTGACCTTCTTCTGTCTTCTACTTGCACTCTTAGTGCTAATTCGCACTTGTAGGGCTTCCTGTGGATGGCTCCTTTCCTTTGGAACAACCTGCCTACTCCCATCAGACTCCCTCTAGTCTTCAATCATTTAAAAAAAGTCACTTAAAACCCATCTTTTCAGAAATGCTTATGGCATCCCAGAGCAACTTCTATTTTAAAAAACCTGTCTCTTGCTCTCTCCTCAAAGGGCACACTCCTCCCTCACCTCCAGTTCTGCTACGTCCCCACCTTGTTTGTTTGCTGTCCACCTAGATGCTGCCTCCTAGATGCCCTTCCTTCCTATTGTGTTATTTCGCACTAACTCCTCTAGACTGTATGCTCATTTGCGCAGGGTTCTCATCAGCCTATTGTTCCTGTCACATTTTGTAATTGTCTCATCTAGGTTAAGTTTCCCCCTTTATGGCACTATATAAATGAGTTAAAATTCATTCTGACATTGTGATGATTTACTTCTTTCTCATATGCTATACATCTTTCTGTTCATGAAACTAGAAAAACATTTCTAAAAAGAATGTAAAAAAAAAAAATCTGAATGCAGATGTGTAGATGGAAAATTGCAATAAAAAGCATTTCTATTTATAATGTGCTATTCTTCGATGGAATGCCTGACTTTTTTAACACTGTTGATGACTCTATTATGATTATTATTCTTTTATGATATATTTAGTTTTTTAATATACTCAGCAACTCAACTTACTTAAATATTGCCCTTTCTATCCTTCATTAAGGTAAAAAAGCTAAAGAAAAAGATTATTGAGTATCTATTATTTCACTCAAAAATGGTACACCTAAAGTTGGCCCCTGTCATGATGAGGTGACAATCATGAATTAATTGTAAGTATTTAAATATACACGAAACTCATTACAAAATATTAAACAGATGGTACAATACTCCCCACAAAATTGCAAAAATGTATCCAACAGCTTTACCCAATTGCTGGAGATGCAATGAAAGGACTGCAGACTTCAAACATATATGGTGGGATTGCACGAAAATCAGACCTTTATGGGATGAGTTAAACCAATATTTGTCATCTTTATTAGAAACAAGGATTGTATGGCTCTATTACATATGGATATGGCGAGCATCAATAAACAATCTAGATCCATTATTTTACATATCCTAATGGCTGTCAAAACCTCAATAGCCAGGAACTGGAAATCCTCTTTGGTAGATAATTGGGCTAAGATTCAGGCTCAAAGCATTACTCAATGCAAAATGGAAAGGGCCATTACTAATTTCACACCTAACAAGGGATTTCAGTATGCATATTGGGATAAATGGATTAAAAGGATTTTAGATAGGGAGGTCTTCCCTGCGATGAAGTACCCCCGCAATACATATTGTTTGGGTTCTCTGTCTACTAAAGTCGCAAGGACCATCTCTATATAGGGAAATCTCCAGACCCCCCCCCTCTCCCGCCCGAGAGCCTGACAAGGGAATATATTTTATTTTCTCGCACCACAAACCGAGCAAATGTCTTTGTATGTTTGTCATTTAGTCTGTTATGCATCAGATTGTAATTAAGGAGAAAGAGAGGGAAAGAAAAGGAAAGGGAAAAGGAAAAAAAAAGAGAAAACTTTGAAATACTGTTAAAATAAATAAAAGAAAGATACAGAAATTAAATAGACAAAGATAGATAAAGAAAGTAAATTGGAACATAACATATGATGATTTGGTATTTGATAAACTCATATATGACTTTGTAAGAAGTGAAATAACCAATACCATATTCTGATGTTAAAAAAATATATATATATATATATACTCAGTAACCCAACTTACTTAAATATTGTCCTTTCTATCCTTCATTAAGGTAAAAAAAAGCTAAAGAAAAAGATTATTGAGTATCTATTATTTCACTCAAAAATGGTATACCTAAAGTTGGCCCCTGTCATGATGAGGTGACAATCATGAATTAATTGTAAGTATTTACACAGTTTGCCTGTGCAGAGGAACAACTGTAGCAAACAGAACTCATTTTTATCTTAAATGCATAATCATATACAGATTATATATCTACGTGGGGAGTGGGAGCATACAATAGAACTGCTTATGAGAAATGGTTTTTTTTATGATAAATGGCACATTAGGCATCTTAAATTCAATCCAGAAGTTCTGTTTTCACATTTTTTAAATGTAGTTCTCAAGGCTAAAATGATTGAATGCAGCAGTTGTTAACAATTAAACTTGACGAATGAAATCCTATTTCAGTAATATGGGAACTGATTTACTACACATGAATTTTGCTAACACTGTGAATCGGGATTATTTGCATTTTACATGTGCTTTCAAGAGTGCTATTGATCCATACTCCTTTGTGTTTCATTACTTAGTCAGTAAATTATTTGTAGTCACCAAGGCAGCCAGTGACCCAGATCAGTCAGAGGACATTGGAACTGATGTCCTCCTAGAATGCTTTGGGGTTGATAAACTGACATGGTTGTCTAGATTTTAGATATCCACTGCATATCTGCTTAAGCAGATACAGTTGATATTGATTAAAGGTTGCAGCCATGCAAATGGGATTTAATTTGCTGAAGTAATTTATGTAAATATTATATAACACTTTCTAATTTAATTTAAATTAATTTTGTATCATTATTACCCTTATGAAAAAAAAATAAACTTCAATGCTTGTATGTGATTTAATATCAGTAAAGTTTAAATATTGACTACGTGTGAAACGAGCATTTTGGAAGTCTTGTCTTCCATTTAGAATGCTGTATTAAAATGCCAAATCATGTATGTATCACACATGTATGTTCCGTATATACTATTAATATAGCAATGGGAATATTCACCAAAGTGAGCAATGCTGTGAATTTCAAATGAATTTCAAATGTAAGGCCAAAATAACCAAACTGAATACAGAACTGACTTGTTGAATTTTTCTAAATCAGCTATCTTGGCCTAAATATTTTAATATTCACTTTGAGCTCACTTAGAACTCCCAGCAACTCTCACTTTAGTGAATAATGTTTTAAGATTATTTTGATCGGTTAGGAGAAGACAATCTAGATCCTGAAATGGCTGGTGCTTATAGAATTGTTTTTTATGGTTGCCCTTTAAGATTGAGCAAATAATGTATATTTTAGGGTACGTCCTTGCATTGAGTCAGTCAGGCTAAAACAATTTGGAGAGTGGTGTGGTGCCCTAGAAATCTGGCTGTCCAAACAGGGCCGGAGAGATCTATAAGAATATTGGTCAAACTTTTAGTTAGAACCATAGAAGAATTTTGTAGCAAAGCAAAATAGCAGAGGAAACAATCAAATAATGTTTACTTAAACATGTACATTTAAAGTGTTCCGCAAGTGTGGGTATTATTATCATTGAAATGCAATCTAACAGCATGCTATTTAAGAGCTGTTTCTTCAGGTCTATAAATTGCGGCTGACAAAGTCATCATGCTTTGGGCTAACTAGATTCTGTTATTGACCGTACTAAACATTAACTTGTTATTGTTTTCTAGCAATCACAATTGAATTTGAGAGTATTCGCAATTAAATTACAGCAGATGATCAGTGCTGCCACATTGAAAAACAAGGGGACAGGTGCAGCGACTGGCAGTTTTGCTGCTGCAGATATTTGGAGTAGAAAGAGGCAATTTTCACTATACGTTGTATTTGTGTTGTGGCGCTAGCAAATGTATTTTCTCATTAAGTAAAAACAAATAAAAATAATTAACATTAAAAAAAAAATTCAAAAAAAGAGGAAAAGAAATGCTAAACAACAGCATGAATAACTTCAAAGACCAGATTTACTGCTAAGTGATCTGTTTTCATCTAATATTGCATCTAAATAGTAAATTATTATTTTTATGTTAATAGAAGTCAAATCATAATGAAAATTTAAACACCTTAGAAAATATGAACATACATTAGTAATATTTTCAATAGTATACTGAATGGTACATCCATGGTATTTGAACTAGCTTGTGCCAGAGTAGAACAAAAGCTGGGAAGCATCAGAAGCTTCAGATACAGTGTAAAGTTTATTTGTGGCACCCTGCCTGCCATCTGTATTACATACCTGCCAAAGATACTCAGCTGAATGAGGGTGTCCTTATTATGGGAATTTGTGATTCTGCCCTGGATCTTCCATCTCTCATAAATGATAATACTCCACATTACACAACCAGCATGTGCATGATAATACCAATGCATCTTCTCGCACAAATAATAATAATTATAATAAATGTTGTACTCTGACCGATGTAAGAATATTTGTGAAATGTGACATGAAATTAGGCATAATTGACCGGGCTGAGCCAACTTCTAGATTAAATGCTGTGACGAACTTGCGGTTCCTGCAGAAGAATTTAAAAAAGGTAATTTGGGTGATATATGAAGATGTGAATAGGCAGTATGTGATCTATGAGATGGTTACATAATAAAACCATACTAATAGTATGTAGAAAGTCTTTGGGGAAAGGTTAACCAATCATGCTATGATTAAGTCATGGTACTCATTTCCATTAATGTGCTGAGCATAACAGCTAAAGGACAATCAAAGAGGGATTAGATTCTACAATAGTATGGTATAAGATGTGGAAAATGGAAAATCAGCTGATAATATTATTGAGGTTATAAGAGCCTTGCAAGAATACATGTGACAATGCAACATATACCTACCATGTCGTTAAAGAGGTAAATGCTGAACTAACATTAAAATAGTGCGGCTCCAAGCAATTATAACAGTTAAAGAGGTTGCTTGGTCATTATAGGGCCAGGTAGAGTAAGATACAGAGCTCCTGACAGGGAAGGGGTGAGACAAAGTTCTTTCCCATCCCTCCAGGAGAAAGAGTTGAGGGTAACCCATTCAAGCCCCCAAGTTGTAGACAACAGGTCAAATAATATCCTGATTGAGCACAGTGTTAACATGGATGTAAAGCCCAAGAAAGGGGAACCTCTTTAGGTATTGTGCCAAAAGAACAAATTAGAAACTGGTGCAGATATAGCCCTCTAGCTTACATGGTGTCTTTTGAGTTTTTGTTTTTCCTCTTAGTCTGGAGATTTTTGGTATTAGATGGGTCTCTTTTAGCATGATGATGGACGGATCACTCCTGAATGTCTTGAGGTCCATCCATCACCAAGGGTCTCTGGGCAGAACGAAAAATAAAAAATAAAAAAAGACCATGCACTATTCCAAACAAGGGAGGCATCATTTCCCAAATACAAAAGGTCCATCTATCACTACAGGTCTCCAGAAAAAAAAAGAGAAACAAAAGAACTAGTATGTATTAGAAAATGTGATATTAGATAAACTATGTGTAGTGTGACTGAGCTTTTTTTGGAGAATTATCTGCACTTTTCCTTTTATCCAGTTTCATAGTTGAAATCCCAGACTCTAAAAGTGGTATGTTAAGAGTGAGGCTTCAGTGATGATGTTGGACATCATGAAATCCATAAGCAAGAACTCTACAGGCGTTACATAATAACTGTAATTAAGGCACATTAAAGACAGTTAAGTGACAAACTGAATACATTTCAGTTAAATCACAAAATGGATGAGGAATTAATTAATGGGACTTAGGGGTGCTGACCTCTAATCTGATGAGTGCACCTGCTTTTATATTGTGAATACATTGTAGATTCAAGCTCAGAAAAGGAGCGCAGCAGGATCCATGTCACTATTAAATCCACAATCAGGTGTCGGTTACCTATACTGAACCTTTGGTGAAGTAACTATATTTTCTTAATTTATTCACTACCATTGTTCCATGGCAAATCCAACTAAAATCCCCAGTCTGTGCTGAAGCCAATTCAAACTCTAACAATGACAAATATCTGCTGGCTTCTTGTGCTCATTCTTGTGCTTACACTGAAAAATACTATGTTGTCCTTACATTGCAGTTATGTTTCCTCCTTGAACATGCACACACTGATACATGCACACACATACAGTTGTGCTCAAAAGTTTGCATACCCTTGGAAAATTGGTAATATAAGTACCATTATTAAGGAAAATATGAGTGACTGTGACCGGCATACTGTGGGGGTTGAGTGTGATTGGGTGAATGTGTGGGATGGTGAGTGTGGGGGTGAGTGTGACAGGATGACTGTATGTGGGGGGATGAGTGTGGGTTGTGAGAGTGGAATGGTGAGTTGAGGGGGGGGGGAGGGGGTGTGTAGACTGTTTGGGGAGTCTGTGCTTCT